ATATTTATAAACTTATATACTTTATTCCTCATTGAAACCATCACAATTCCTAATGAAAGGCCAAGAAGCTTCCTGGCAGATTATATTTTATTCACTAGATGACTAGGCCATTTCCATACATTTGAAGTAGACAGCAGGCTACTACTTCCTCCAACAACTAACCTTCCAGGAATGTAACCGTAACAGAATGACAATACATCAGCAATGCTAAAATGAGAGCTGGTTAGGTTGAAGACAGCTCTCTGTTTACCCTTTCCTTTACCTTTTTCAGTATGCTCTGGCTCTGGTTGATTACTACTACTGGAGCTGACACTGGCATCAAAACCTGTTGGAGAAATATTTCCCTCAGACTGGAGGTCTTGCAGCTCCCCTGCAACACTGTCCACTTCTATTGTGCTATCTGTTTCACTTTTAATGCTTCGTATCTCTTCTTGACTTGGTGGCAGCGTCTCAGAGACAGTGACACTGGACTGATGTCTACTGGGCTCCGTTACAGTTACAGATGAAGGCGATTCAGGAGTTGTAGGAGGAGTATTTAGCACTGAATTACTGCCACTGCTTGGAAATTCAACTTTCTTTTCACCCACTTCAGCTGGTTTCTCCTCCACAGGTTTAACGTCCACACTAGCTGGCAAAGACTTTTCAAGTTCAGAGCTAGGTAAAGAAATGTCTTCTTCTGCAAGAGTCTGAAGCTGCTCCTCTGCCGCAGCATCCTCAGGAGCAGCATGTGGAGGGGAAGCAGCAGCTTCAGTGTCAGAGTCCGAGAACAATTCCTTCAGCGTTTTCTTCGGCCATTGTCCCTGAATACTTGACCAGACATCTTTTCGATCCTTCGCTCTGGTGTTCTGAAGTCTTTCATCAGAGTTATTTAGAAGCTTTATTCTTTTCTCTCCCACTTCAGAAAATCCTGAGTAGAAAGTACTTGTCCGTAAAGACTTCCTTTTCTCCTCTAATCCATTGTACTTTTTAGTTGGAGTGATTTTCAGTTTAGTTTTGTCATCCTCATCTTCATCCGAGGAGCTGTTACTGCTGTTTTCTAAACTAAGAGAGTCTTTGTTTTTGGACTTCTCCTCCTTTCTGTTAGGCGACGCAGTCTTTAAAGATTCCTCTGCAACACAGTATCTTCGTTTACCACGTTTCACCTGTGGTTTTGCTGTTTTATCCGCTACCTCCTTTTTTGCATCCTTTCTCTTCTTTGTGGCTTCGTCTTCTCCATCAGAGTCAGTATCTTCCGATAACTCTTCCATCTCTTTTCGCAATCTTTCAGGAGATTTAGATCCTGACTTGGGCACTACTACGTCTGTCACAGCTTTAGTTTCTTCTGGGAGGGATGAACTGCTTTGTTCTTCTTTTAGACAGAGTTCGTTCTTATCTTGGCTTACAGCTTCATGTTGAGATTCCTCTTTGCCATCAGCAGGTACATTTGGGGCACTTTGGTCATCTTCCTGCTCACTATCATCAGAACTTTCAGAAGCTAATTAAAAATAAATAATAATAAAAAAAAACAAAAGAAGAAAAGTTTGTCTTCATTCTGGTTACAAAGAATTCTTAAAAAACACAGCTAAAGAAAACTGTACAGATATGAACACGTGCTACAGGGATCTCCAGTAGTATATATTTTTAATGGTACCTCCTGAAGACTTCAAAAATTTATTTCCTATTCTATTAGAAGATATCATGACTAGATTAGGAACTAGGAAAATTCTGTATTAAACCATACATCTCCAGAAATTTCTGAAGAGGTGGAGAAAGCATAGAATGCATCAATCCATAAGATACAATTTTCTGCCTAACTAACCAGAACAGAAATTGAAAGATGTGCTTAACATAAAAACTCTAAGTATTTCTTATAAGTTACAAATACTACCATTATCTGCCCTTTTTCCAAAGCCCAGAACAGAGACAGTATTTTCCCTGGAGAATCCACAGTCTAAAAGGACAGAACAACAACAAAAGACACAGGATAATATCTAACAAACCAACCTGATGACCAGCCTGGAAAAAGGAAGTGAAAGCAATTATCAAAGGCACTTGGAGAAATATATGAACAATATATTTGACAGGACAGGACAACAGTAAGAAAATTTGGGGTCAAGAATAAAGAAACTGAGAAAAGAAGAACAAAGATATAACAGAGAAGGAATCAACAACAAGCCCATTCAATGTGAAAAGATATAGATACAAGGAGAAACAATGAGAATTAGCTCAAATATATGGGTAACTCCTTGATTTGTAACTCATCCATTCCTGTTGGCATAGCTAGTTTAACTCTTCTCATCCTACTTCCCATCTCTCATTCTCATTTCCTTACTAAAACTCACCACCTCTTTAAAGATAATGTAACTAACAACAGAGAAGAAAAGCAATACTGTCAATGAAATTCTCTGAAATTACCAAAGTTGAATTAACTTTTTTAAAAAAGGTTTACTGAAATACAATGAACTTAGAGAAGAGCACACTAACAGAGAAGAGGTATACAGGACAAAACACCTTGAGAAATGTTTCCTCAGGTGTTTTTCTTGGTTTATTTGTTTTAAGATAGGCAGGATCTTAAATTCCACTCTAAGACTCAATATGAAAGCAAGTTTTACACAACCCTTTCAATGTTGTTTGCTTTTTTCTAATTAAATATTTATGGTAGACATCTTGGCCTAAAGTTCCAAGAACTCTATCACTTAAAATGGACTTCTATGCCTTTCTCATACCTTAAAGGATCAAAACTACCCTACTATTACAATACAAAAGGTATCAAAATTTGCTATTGGAAATAAAAGCCAAAAACACATTTAAAAAAACAACCAAAAATCAGGTTCATCAAGTTTTCCTCTCAACCTATTTACTTTGCTGCACCCTTCAAAGGAAAGTTGAATACAACTGCATTAATCATTCTAGTTTAGGAAAAAAAAACCCCTGTAAAAAGTCTTGAGCAAGCAGCTCTAAAATTGGAGGAACAAGAAATAGTAAAACGTTAGAGCCTTTCGTACTTAAAAACAAAAACCCACAAGTAACAGAAAAAAAACTTAATCCCCAGCATGAATCTATGTGGACTTAAATGATAAAAGAATTACATACAATTAAAAGCATTTCTGGAAATTAATTATGTAATATGGAAAACATTTAGCTTGCCAAAATATTAGAGGGTGTATGTCAAATTGTGCTTCTGTAATCAGAAGTTAATTACAGATTAATTATAGCACTAATAATAGTGTCATTATCATCACCACTAATTGCTTTTTTGTTTCTCATTTCCTAAAGAAACAAAACTTAGATTATGTTGACTGTTATTCTACCTACAGATTTGGAACCCAGTGGCCAACGGTATCCAGGTTTGAGTAAGTCTGAAATATTATTAAATTCATACAACTTTCACAAAAATTGGTGGTCACCACAACTACCTATACCATGTATGATTTTTTTTTTGGAGGCACACACTAAGCTAAGGATGAAGAGAAGCAACTAGTTATTATAATGCTGCTGTAAATGTGGGGGAAGGGGAAAACAATGTTAGGAACAACAGGCGTGCTGACAGGAAACCTAGCTTTATTAATTCCATTCTTCAAGGCGGCGGGTGGGGGTGGGGATCATGGGTCTAAAAGTTACATAAATCAAAAATTAAAACTTTAGAAATAATATAGGAAGCAAAGATGCTTTGCCCTGTATCAAACAAAAAAAGGATGGCAAAACAAAGAATGTAATTCTTAAAACTGTTAACATACACTGAATCTACAATACCTGTTTTCAGAAACTGCAAATATTGCTTTTGTTCAAGGGTTATTTCTGAAGATGATATTATAATGAGCCAGACTCAAGTGTACAGTTGCATCAGTTGTTCTACACTGTCATTTACTACTGTTTAAAGGCCATTTACGAAATTAGAAAAGGTTTAAGTACAATACCTTGTAGCCCATTAATGATAGAAGTAATTTCTATTGATTTAACTGGAGCTTGTTCAGTATTTTTGGCTTCAGCGCTGTCAAGTTTGGACCCAGTCTCTGGTGATGTGCTGGTGTGAAAGGGTGGTTTTGACAAACGTCGCAATTTACAGTTTTTAGGAGAATACTTCTCTTCCTTCTCTTTGTCAGTTTTATTCTATGTGAAAGAAAAGATTAAAAACTCTTCTCATTTGACCATACATCTTAACATAGATTACAATTAAGCAATGCTTACAGTTACCTTAAACATTCAACCTGTACATGAAAGCTTTCCTCTTCGTTTAAAAAATTACAAATACCTTCCTATAGCCCATGCCAAGACATGTACACCGAAGACAGGAACTCTGTCAACACCGAAACAAATGGGAAAGCAAACACAGCCAGCACTCCAGGAGCAGTGGCACCACAGGATGCCAGGCTCAGCAGTGGCAAGGCAGGGATATGACACTCTGCCTTGTTGTCACAACGGGCAGGGAGTTCTAGAACAAAACTGAGGTTCCGGCGGTACCACGATGAAAAAGGAGGGGGGGGGTGGGTGCGGGCAGGAGAAGCGCTGACATCTGTGGCAGAAGGAAAAGATTCTTTGCACCCCAGTGCCCACGGAATATATCATGACCTAAGCCTAAGTATCAGTTTTAAACGAATGAAGTTTGAAAGGAATGCTATGAAATAAAATGACAGTCACATACACATGGACTAGTCATAGGTTTGCTCTCCAGAATCAACGGAGGGAACTCCCAAATTTCATGCCCCAGAGTTGGCTCCCACTACTGATAATAAAATAGGTCCTTCTCATTTGTTGTCTGTAAGTAAATCTCACTAAAAATACAGGAAAGAAGGAAAGAGAGACTTCCCATTCCCCTTCCCCTCCAAAAAAGTGAAAAAACAAAACCTTGATGAAAAAAGTTCTAGTTTTTAGAAGGCTAGGAAGTCACTTTTACTATCAAGCATTTATAGACCAATCAAAACGTTAGGAAGGGAGGGGGAGCACTTAAGAATATACTAAACCAAAGTTGGGGGGAACAAGGGAGAAAAAGGGACAGAAACTACCTTTATTTTCTTTCGATGCTTAATTTTTGGTACATTTTTATCAGCTGGTCTCACTATCTTGTCTGCCTTTATCCATTCATCATACCTAAAAGCAAAAAAAATTGTACACATTTAGGGTTTTAAGCAGATAATCATGACATTGTAAGAGAAATAAATGGAGGAAAAAGAAAATTATTAGACATATAAAAAACGAATAGGAATTTGAATAAAGTAGTAATTTGTGTACTTTTCAGTACATGGAGTTTCAGCTAAGGTTCAGTTCTTCATATGCTGGCACATACAGGATGAAGTTTTCTTACACTGATGGGTAAGAGTGAAAGCTGATATTTTTCCAGTCTGCACTGAACAGCAGGAAATCCATGCATACAGGTAAAACAAAATACCAGAAAGGTATTTCTCTCTGGGTCTTCAAGAACTATACTTTGTATATATATTGTAAAACCTTAGCAATAAAATAAATTCTTACAACTACATAAAATGTGACCAGTTAACAAAAAGGAACTCTTTCGAGCCTGCCTGCAAAGTGGTATTTGGAGTGACTAACACTTAGGAGTCACTAACTTTTGAGTCACTAGCTTAACACTAACACTTTTCAATTTGTTTTCAGTTGAAGATTTCCATTTTATATCAGAATGATACCAGACAAATACATACTAAAAAGCACCAACATATTAACAACAGGTGTCTTATTATTTAAGGCTGGACCTGTTAAATGCAAATCCAAGACCAGAGAAATACATACTTAGTAAGAATATACTGTAACTATGGTACTGTACTTGCCAGTTTCATTGTGTATTTCTGAAAAACCTCAAGAATTATTTTTTTTTTCTCCCAATAAGCATAACCTGCTATCCTACTTCAACTGTGAAGTTAAGAACTGCCTGAATAAGAAATAGGTCGGTTAAAAATCAGTATGTATTAACTTTTACCCCAATGTACAGCCACATAAATTCCATCCCCCCTCAGTAAACATGAAAACAGAGGGGAGGAAAACAACTTTAAAAAAAAAAAAAAACAAACAAACAAACCACAAACCAACACCAACCCAAAAACCCCACCAAACAAACCAAAACAAATGAACAAAAAAGCCACCACACACCCAGAGAACTAGTACAAGATGGAGCTGAGCACAATACACTCATGACCATGCTGGCTTTCCAGCTGGGCTCACTTGACCACTGTTTTGATATACACAACAACTGCTGATACAGTCCCAACTCAGCTGCTTTGCAACTACTGCCAATTATAACTACAATACTGACATATAAATGAAAAAAGATTAGAGAAAAATATGCAAGTTTCCAACTTGCCTTTCTATATACTCTAAGTTAAGATCTATGCAAGGGAATCCAGAAACTAAATACTGTATTTTATTAACTTAAATTTCAAATAATAATACAGTGAAAAATGTCTAGCAGTAGTCTCTGAAAAACAGTTTTCCAAAACCATTTCTTGGGGTTTTTTTTACCCTCCATGTGACAATAAAAACCACAAAATCTAGCAGCAGACCACGCAGATGACAACATACCAAGATTACCTATACTGCTGCAGATACAGCTGTAATTGTACTATTACCAGGTGACATGTAGGTGAACAGGCTCAGATTTCTCTCCAAAACTGAAATACAACTCTGCAGAGTACTTTCCAATATGGCAAAATCCCATATTCTGTGAGACTGTGGGAAACCCTATTTGAAGTAATCTTTCTTCAAGTCAAAGACATGCTTTCCAGAGGGAATACTGCTAAGTAGACTGGCAAACGGACTTTGCAACCCACATAAATGTAGGAGCATAACATTAGGTCTAAATGCATACAGGAAAACAGCACTAAGACTGGACAAATACCCAGTGAAAAGCAATTATTCTGACAGCGTCCTTTCTGCCTCAACCATATTGCTATATCACAGAATTTGTATTCACTACTTCTATGCATTTCCAATAAGAAAACAATCGTCCCCCTATGCAAAGTCTGTGCACTGCACATACTGCCCACGATTCAAGGTAATTGTAGTGACTGTTGTGGCAACAGCTGGTAGACACGGGGGCATACTGAAGCAAAGGAGAGAGGAAGCGCAGAATCTTAAGAGAGTATCTGTAGATCCCACGGAGTCTTAAATGTTACATATTAGAAGCAGTAGTCACAACTCCTCTTCAAAGAGCACAAACTGCAAACCTATGTGTGACAGCCACAGTTCCTGGCCGGAGCATATCCTGCTCTACTCCCGACTGCACCTGCAACAGCAGTCAGACCCTGCAAGGAGGCCCAGCGTCACAGAAATCTTGAATCTTTTCCAGGGAATCAATGCCCACACTTCACACCTTTGCACGGCACAGCTCCTTTCATTACTCACACATCAGATGCATATGGTTTGCCTAAACCTGTGACAATTGGACCGTAGGCTGAAACAGATCCTGCAAAAGGGATACATCCCAAGCCGCAGCTGACAACCTGACCCTAAATTACATTCTCCTCTACTGCATGACAGAGAAGCACCCTGGAAGCTGTACAGCACACCAGATGCCAAGCTGCATCTGAATGGTGTGTGTGAGACTACAGCCTTTCCTTACAGAACTGCACCTTATTAAAATAGGAAAACTTACTTCATCACTAATCTTGCTTTAGTGAAAGCAAGACTTACTTCATCACTAATCTTGCTTTTGTGAACAGCCTGTTCACAAAACAGAAGAAAACCAAAAACATTCTGAAAGAAGTTCTTCGGCTCTCATTACAAGAAATACATGCTTCCAGAAGACCTGGGTCGTTTCACTGGAGTGCTGTCTTCCACGCTTCCTTACCTCAGCTCCCTAAAGTGAGCAGCTGAATATGGAGAGGAAGGAGGTAAGATGGGGAAGTGTTCCTAGAAGAGTTTGCACAGACTTGTTTGAGAACCAAGAGGAGGGATTTAATAAAAAATTATTATTTACTTATTTTTTAAATAAGGTTTTGTATGAAAACCTGGAATGCCTTCAGAAGAAACATCCCCTTTGCCTTACCAAAATGAAGACAAAGATGAGCCAGTAAGCAGAGAAGCTTTTCTGCCTTACTGGTTAAAATGAATGCCTGCCAGAAAGGTGGGTTTGAACAGGAAGGAAGGAAGTAAGGAAAAAAGGAAGAATTCAATTAATAGCTATATAGCAGAAAATAACTGGCACTTTGCATAAGAGTATGTACTGATTCTATTACATCCATATGTACTGATTGCAAGCTAAAAATAAACCACAGCATATTCTCAGAGATTGCAGTCGATCCTCCACAAGAGATACTAGAGGGGAAACAAGGAAGAAAGTGTACTTTTCTAGTGTCTCAATTTATACCAGCATAAAGTACCACTTTTTCAGGAAGACAAGAGTCCTCAAGGAACTAGCAAGCCTTGGCAAATTCACTGAGAAGTTCCAGTATACTGTCTGTATCTGCTAACAAGGAAGAATCAAATGTTTTCTTTGGCTGTGATCAAAGAAAGGTGGAGATTTAGTCTTATAACCAAATACTGGAATATTAGATGATGACTCTGATTTTTAAAATTTTATTTATTTTTTAAATAATCCCCCCCGCTGCCCCCATGACACAGACTACTCTCAAGAACCTGACATTTGGCTACACATGTTCCTTTCATTTCAGTGGTTGAGTGTTAAGTACAAAATTGGTATATCATTAATGTTTCAGACTGAGACAGAAATTGGCACTTTCACATTCAGATTTCTGAAGGAAAGAACAAAATGTTGAGAATAGTAAGTCTTAAACACTTGAAACATTGAAGAATAACATCTTGTGATATTGTACCATACGACACACAGAGTTAAAGCAACCTAAACTATTTTTGAATATGCACCCTCCGTCTTTAATTACTGGGAACACACTGCAGAAGAAATGCACCTCAAACACACATACAATGAACTTTACGTTGCACTGGCAGCTGAAAATTGAAATCATGACATAAGGAACTGGCACTGTGGGCCCCAGGGAAGTTTTAGTTCCATATAAAGCATACATAATTCAGAACATGACCAGCCTGTTAGAAGAAATACAGTTTCTCCCATAAGCTTCTGGTTAACACGTGATAATGTAAACAGTTTTCTCTAACAGGGTAGAGATTTTTACCATTCCCTTTCACTGCAAGTCAGGCTCCATAGAACACTACAATTCTTTACATTTATCAGAAACACATACCACCCGAATCTCAGGAGCTTACAACAAGATCCTTTAGCGTAAAGCAGTGCAGCTGTACAATGCTGTTAAGCTATATTCCATTTCTGTATTTTCAACTTACTACTTCTAAAAAAAGTTCCACAGTGGTTAGTGTCACTGGTTCCAGAGCATTTAACAAAACTAACAGAGCTGAATACCAAGTCTACCAAATTCTATTCCAAGTACCCTAAAGCATGTGCACATGTACGCACAAACTATTACTCTGAATCCCAGACCAACAGTGAAGTTACCTTGTGATAAGAAACGTGAGTAGTTATTTAGGATTCCCACTCAGACTTACGGATTTAAAGAACAGGCCATTAAACAGCATACCAACCAAAAGGGGAAACACGAAAGTCGACTTTAAGGGGTAGGAGAATGACAGAATTTAAAAAAATCTTGGATGATTAGAAAATCCTAGTTCAGCACATCCCATGACCTAATGTTACAATACTTGTCCTTCCTAAACACTAAAAGCGAGTAATAAGGAGAGAGGGAACTGGTACCTATCCATGTAAAGCAGTTATTTTTCCAGGTTGTGACTTACTAAAAGTCAAATCAAGTTATTACATCATACAAGACTTGTCTTCACAATACTAAAATATCAAAGCATTTAGATGCTGCCTTAAAGCTCAGGTTTACCCACTCTTACTGTCAAATCCAAATATTTAAGTAATTTTACTTGAACTAAATAAACTAGCCACATTTTGCAGAGCCCACGCGCAGTCCCATAGCTAAATCTCAATCACTCTTTTCTTTTTCAGTGAAGAATCCTACTCTCCCAGACCCTTTCAGAAGGCTCTTTTGAAACTCCAGGTAAGAATATAAATGCAAGTCCTGCTGCCAGAAAGACCAAACAACTCCCCTCACCTCCCAAATGAGTGTAAGCTTACTAAAAATACTTTTCTTATCAAATATATCCTAGTCACAGAAATAATGCCTCTGATATCAATCCGCATATTTAAAATGCGGAGTTCAAAAAACAGAATCTTGATTTCTCCTTTAAGAACCGGATGCTGGGATCTCCAAGGTGAAGGCTCATTTTGACTTCTCACTTCTTCAGATTTAAAGTGGTACTGCTCAAATAAAACTCTGACCATCTCACCTCATAACATGCATAATGGCATAATATTTACTCAAAAAGGAAAATAACTTCTACATTTACGTGTGAATTCCAAATCAAGAGTTTAAAAGCAAGAAACCTCTTTGAACGGTGCATAGTAATCCTCAGCAAGCAGGATGCAAATTTCAGCAACTTAGGTTCCTAAGACAAGTCCTCCCCAATAATGACCAAAATGCTAGTCACATTCCAACTCCCACCTTGAGTAGGTTGCATCTCCCCTACTATCTTGACTTCATAGCCCACTATGCTTACAAATGTTGCCTGAAGACAGTTTTTGTGAAAGACCATATTCCTGTAGATCAGTATGTGAAGATCAAAATTCTACAAAAGATCGATATCAAAAGTAGCAGTATCATGATGTTCCTGCTCCGCAGTGGCTTAGATGGTCCTGGAAATCACCAGGCCTAAATGCAAAGACGTGTATTCAAGGGAGGGAGAGAAGTATCATGCTTCTGTAATTGTGACCTTTGCTAGCAGATCTTGCTAGCACTGAATAAATGAGATTTGTCCTGCCCTCTTGGTCAGAGGTAGGATGGTAATCAACGTCCAGATGACAGAAGGTGGTCCTGAGAGCCTCAGATTTTCCAGAAGAGGAAAAATAAATAAACAAAAAGTACAGCAGATTTGCCTCAGACTTTTTTAAGATCTATAAACACAGTAATAAAGTTTAAAAGATGACAGCTGAGGACAATGAGCAGATACATTGAAACTGAGGAAAAAGCAGGAGAGTTGATAAATGGCTTAAAAGCCACTCAGAAACTTTAGCCTTCTCTACTGTTTTCAAAGTTGCTTCAAGTTTTAAACAGCAAAAATGTGGTCTGAAATGGCAAAAATATATTACTACTACAACTTATTTCTGTCAATGCTATATTAAAGACAAGAAAAAGCACATACTCCTGCATATATTAAGAAAAGCATAAGAAGCCACTAGGCTAAGAAGAGTCTTGTTTGGAAGCTTGAGGCAGCCACAGGGGAAGGAGGGGTGGGGAGAGGTGGAAATCGGATCTGAATGAAATGCAAGTATTTGCTGCACATTAAAATTTGCCACTAAAAATCTTGACTTCTCTTGTTAAATACCATACTGCTAGTGTACTCTCTGCTTCGCTGAGAAGAGTGTGTATACAGACTCAGCTAAGTGCACTGTTCAAATATTGTATGAGATAAAATTGGCTTCAGAGAGCCAGAGGAGGAATTTGTGAAAGAGTGAGCTGTCACTTGTTGTATGGAGAGGTCTAAAAATAAGATGGGGAATGAAGGAAGCCTTCTTTGAACAAGTCATTTTAAGATGATTTTCTAAGTAACTAAAGTATTGCATCTATATAGTGTTAAAAAAATCTAATAGTTTCATACATGACCTTCACAGAACACCAATACTGAAAGTTTAGGACTCCAGATCGCTATTAATTTAGTTTTTAAAATACACAAGTGTATTTTAGAAGTAATTCAAGAAGTAATCACTAACTAAAACTCAAGTTACCTCACGTTCCATCCACAGTAGTGCACCAAGTAAAGGACTTCTCCACCTTCGATGTCAGAATCTTTAATACTAGCTTCATACATTTTTTGATTTTTCCCTCTTCCATACCGCACTTGGACTTTCATGCCTGGTGGATAGCATTCAAACTCTTCTTCCTCATTGTTATTGTTGTCTTCTTCCTCCTCCTCCTCATCCTCTTCCTCCTCCTCTGCTTCTTCATCATCTTCATCTTCTTCCTTATTCGTGTCATCTCTTGAAAGGTTTAAAAAATTGTAGAGTTAATATGAGATACTTCATAAGCTTTTCAGTTCCAAACCACATATATTGATAAATATTGTGGATGCATTAGGGAGTGGGAAACAGCAGGCTCCAAATATCTGAAACTGTACTACAGCCGAGTAATATCAGCAAAATAGGATATAGCAATATACACAAAGTCCAGTGACTGTAAGGTGCAAAAATGACTTGACTAAAAGAAAAAAAAAATCCATCAAAATCTGTACGAGCAGAAGTTGTTCAAACTCATCTTTATATGATTCCTTCATGCAGTCCCTTTGTTTAAATATTGTTTTTTTCAGTTCAAACTCATCCTTCTCAATATAGACTTCCCTAAATTCCATTTTTCACCCTACAAGTTTTACAAGTGCTTCTTGAGACTTGCTTCCCGCTTTATTAGAATAAATAAACTATCTTGACACCTTGATGTGACTGCAACCAAAACCAGATGGGGGGGACGGGACGGGACAACAAAAACTCTTATGCAAGATTACTTAGCAAATCAAGCAACCTGTGCTAACCTTGTCACTCCTTGCCAATTATGCTAGAAGTCTTCTAAATATAAGTCAAACTTGCATTTAGCTGTTATATAAATACACAAGCAGGTGTTGGCTGCTTTCAAAAGTAAGCTAATTTTTAATACATTTTTAGGTATTTGGACCAATTTTCAGAAGCACGAAGAACCCACAAATCTTGCTAGTCTCAGTCAATGGCAGCTATGGGCTGCTCAGTGTTCTGAAAATTGTCTCCAACCAGCTTAAAGAGGCAGACTATATTTCAAAAGTTAATGGGGGAAAAGTATCTTTTAATCTTAAATAGCTTTACAAAACAGTATTATTGGCCCTCACATCATTCTAATCCGACACTCTGTGCAATACAGAATAGATTAGGGCTGCTTACTAAATTCACAATAACCACAGACCACTAATAATTTAAAAACCTGAGATGTGGAACAGATACATTTGGATGTATTACAGACTGGGTAAGAAAAGGTAAGTGCTGCTCTAAGTCTGATTCACACCAATATTTAAGTTAACCTCACAAACACAGAAGTCTGTATTAATACAATCTAAATCTTTCCAGGAAATTTTCAGTAGAAAATACTCAGATAAACCAAGCTACTTTCTCTCTGAGAAAGGATCAAATAGCATTTTAATTATTTAAATGCTTCTTTGTAGAAGTAAAACTGCAGTATTATTATCTAATTCGCTGGCAAAAGAGAATTCAGAACAATAAGCTAAATTCAACTATAACGTAACCACACTGATTGAACGAAATTACTTCAGAAATTAATGTTGCCACCCCCCCATACACAAACACATAAATATATAAATACATATATATGTGCATATACCATGAGACAAATGCTAAAAATTCCTTCTGTAGGTGTATTAACTAAATCAAGTCACAGAAGACACATCTACTCAGGTATACATGGCGTTGACCAGACAGTTTTGTTCTGGAAGACTAAGACTTTCAATTTATTGTATACTTTCAGTGGGTAACTTTGGTGGTTTTAACGTCACTAGCAGAGTTAAAAATGCAACATAAACGAATGAGCTTTCCAAGCTCACTTCATCTCCACTATACATCATATGGCAAAATCCACTTCCTGAAGAAATCACAAATAAAGGTCCCCAAAGACAGATGAAAAATTCCTGAACATAATTCCACAGCTACCAACAGAAAGCACCAACTAGTAATTTAAATGCTTTTAAATTATACTCTCTCCTGCACTAAATCAAAACTCCTAGCTAATTTCAGCTTAACATCATACAAAAGCTAAAAAAAAAAGCCCCTTGGCATCAGGAAGCAGAGACAGCACTGCTGTGGGAACAAGATGAGCTTGTGATTTACCATTACTAACAAGACTTTTCAAAACTGCAATGAATCAAGTTTTGCCCAATTCTGCCCCCCGCCCCCAAGAACTACTGGCACAATCATTGAATGCTGTCTGCAAAGAAAAGCATGCCTACGAGGGAGATTCAGGATTTTCCAGACACTGGCAACTATGGTGGCCAGTGGCTCTTTGGAAGCTGAACAAGTTTGGAGTCTCTCTCACCTTAATCACCCTATGGCTTCCTTGGTGTCCCAACAAATATTCTACAAAGCCTCCATGACAATACCAGAACTTCTCTGGAAGAGATGTGTGAAACCCTCATTGTGAGGTTGAGTAACTTGGATGGTCAAGTAGATGTGAAGAGCAGACTGTACATAGGTGGAGGGAATGTCAGGAAGCAAAAGCAAAATGAAAGCAGAGATGGCTGCAATTAAAAAGTGTTCTAAGGAGTGATCTGGTTAGCAATCATAAGCTGGAGATTTTAGGAAACCAAACGAAAGCAAAGAACATTCATCATTTTGGAGCAGAAAAAACAGCATACCCATATAGCTCCTGGAACAAAAAACCCACCCCAAAACATATTCCAATGGTTGCAAGGAAGAGAAGATACTGTTTTGTAAGGCCATAAAAAGCTCAAACCTGGCAGTGCAGATGAAGGAAAAACCATGACTGCTTGTCATGAAGTCATGAAACAGCGGTTTGTAAGAGAAAATTGTGATTGAAGCCATCCATCATGCACAGGCATAACCTCATTTGTCCATGTAAGTATGCACGAGAACATTGGATTTCCTTTAATGCTGTTTAGTCAAAATCCCATGGTGGGGGAAGAAAAACAAGCAAGCCTCTTGGCAGCAGACAATAATTGTCAACTTAAAACTCAAAAACAGCATCAAGCAATATTTGCTGCAAAGCTGCAACAATTTGAACAACCCAAGCAGCAGCTGATTAAACAAGGCAGCAGCAGATGTGCATGCACACGGTACAAGAGACACAGCAATACAGCTGTAACTGTGTTCCAGAAACCAAAGTACCACCAGAAAGCTTATCAAGAGGACTCAAAAGCATTTCCAATTACAACTGCAGACTAAAGAATACCCTCACCCCATGTCCCACGGAATGGAAACATAAACCTTCACAAGCAGGAAATTAATCAATTAAAATGCAAAAATACTTGTTAACAAAGTCAAACCATTAAAACATTTAGATCATACAAATACTGCATATCATTAGTTCCAAAGGACATTGTGAAATCGTTAAAAGGCTAAAAATACTGCAGTGTTCAAAAAGACGCATATGGCAGGTAATTCTCAGTCAATATAAAGATTTAACACTAACAAGCCCATAATAAGGTTAAGTATATCAATCAACGGACGTTGTTAATAAGATGAAATAGCACATGCTATTGCACCACTAAAGGAACTGCAATATCACGCAGACATCTTTCAACCCACAACCTCTGGCCGTAACCACGGCATTGTCACAAAGCCCAGGTGAAACCTATGAGACAGGGTGTGATTTGGAGCATTAAATCTGCCTCCTAGGATCCCTGTTTTGCAGCAAACCTAACCCTACTCCAGTACATTTCCCCTGACACACCATGCTGGCACACACAGCAGGTGAGATAGCAAATGCAGGATTATTTTTTTCAGGGGTTATTCTAAAACTTGAGGAAGCAAGATTATTTCAATTATTGGTTCAATTAAGTCATTACAGTTAATTGAACCACTAGCAGAAATAAACTCCAGTGTAATTGACACTTCAAGTTTAGCAATTAACTTCTATTTTTGTTTCCCTCCTTTTTCCTTTTTTCTCATCCTAGAGCATTATTTAACCTCTACTTCACATAATAAAGAGCTGGAAGATGTCGAGTCTCCTTCATACTCTGACTTTCTCAATCACAGCTGTATTAAGATGCCCTTAAGTTTTAAGGCAAAGAGGCCATTAAGACCTGTACTTATGCCATGACACTGGAATCTCATCTTTAATTAAACAAAATAACAAAACCCTGAAAGTTCACCAGTATTTGTCTTCCCTCTGAAGTTGAAAAAAAAAAAAAAAAAATCTAAAAATAAAAGCTCCAAGGACTTCTGTCTACACACACACAAAATCTGAATAAATGCACAGTTACGGTCCATCATTCTGAGGGGAGGAGAAGTGCACTAACATGTTTCAAATCAAGTCTGAGTGTAGTACAGTACGCTTCAACCACGCAAGCATGTACTCTGCAACCAATGTTTTCCTCTGCTGCTATGGAGAAAACAAATTAAAGGACCTCATGTTATTGCTTCTAATCATTCAGCCAAGGTTTTTTGGTTTTTGTTTTGGTTTGGTTCGGCTTAAGTATTTTGAAACATTCCTGGAAAGGATACTGGATGTTTCAGAAGTCTGGCTGAGGAGTACAGCAGTTTTCATTTTTCATTTTTATGGCGCTGGTTCACACTCAACTTGAAAACATCTAGTATTTGATGAATGTTTTACAGGCTTACACATGCACGTAAGTCTCAGTGACAGCTACCATGGTTAATAACCTCCGTAGTGACCATAAGATAAAATGTGACATGTAAATGTGACAACAGAACCACTTTTTCCACATCAAAGACACCTCCCTTCCATTCAACGTGATGCATGCACAGGACTGGTACATTTACACTGCCACTGTACACTCTACTATGGTGTCATTGGCAGCTTATTAATGTATCAAAAGCAATCCTTACGTATATTCTATGTATCAGTGCATATTCTATATTAAGGAAAAAAAAAATCAATTAGGCTCTGTTTCTGAAAACATGACTATACAAAAACTTCCTTCACAATACAAAGGCAGCTGGAATACATAATAGAACACACATGACAAATTAAGAGCATAGAAATACGTTCTTATAAATTAAACTACCCAAGTATGCTTCTTAAAAATGTATTTTTTTGCCTATACACCAACAGTCTAAGATTCAGAGCAGATGTTCACGCCAACTGTGCAATGAACACGACACATTTCTCTCCCTTCTCCCAAGCTAATGAATTCCATATAAACCTAAATCAGACTGGAGAAAGCAATCTCAATATATAGTTCTCAACACTAATCCAGAAGCTAGAAGATATGCCTTCTGTATCAAGTCTCCTTCACTCCAAAACATTT